TCAGTGTAGCCCATGCCTCTTCCATATGCATTATCTCATCTCATTCTCAGGACAACCCTTTAAGGAGCATTAAGGCTAAGTAAGAGGTAGAGTGAATTCACTCCAGTGTCAGAAAAACGATAGAGCCAGTTTTCAAACCCTATCTTAATAAGCTCAAGGAATATTTTCTGGAGTAAGCTTTTCCTAACCACACAACTCCCCACCTGGATCTTTTCCTCTAGGCCCTCACGACACCCTATGGTCCATTCTGTCACAGCACTTAATCACCTTGCACAGCTACCATTGATTTCTGTTTCTGTCACTAGACTGCCAGCAACTTAAGAGCAATGACCAGTCTGATTCATATCGTTAGTCCCATTCCCTAATATAGGGGATAACATATATTACAGGAGTCAATAAATATTTGTTGAGTGAATGAACAAAGGGCAATACAAGAGCACCAACAGTTTAGTGACTTGTTTTTGAGAATACAAAAATAGAAATATTAGACTTATCCAATGTCCAGGGTAAAGCATACCTTTGCATCCTTAGGTTCCTCACCCAGAATTGCAGCATAATTATTTTCCCCCCAGAATTCTATAGCCTTGGAGTCATCGTCCTCAATGTCTGCAGAAAAGACCCAAAGAGATGCTTTTTCTCCTGGAGGACTTAAAGGTTACCTTGCAGTTTTTGCCATCAGAAAATAGCTCTGCAATTATAATTAAAATTTGGTGCTTTGAACTTTTCCATGCTTTGGTGGTTATTGGTTCAGGATTGAGTTCAGGACTGGGATAACTAGGACAAAGGAAACAAACCTCTTTATTGCTCTTACTTCATATTGCCAAATCACTTTCCAGTAAGAAATCGTGCCCACTTACCCTGAAGAACAATCTGAAACAGCCCCAAGGAAATACAGATCTTGCCTGTCTCAGTTGCTGGTTTTAATTTCCCCTTTCTGCAGTGGCTTGTTAATATTAGTTCTGACCTTTGGGGCAATGTGAACACATGGTTAGCCTGAAGAGAAAAGGCTCCGGGTGGCTCAGGAACTTCTTTGGCAACTACAACAGCTGATATTTCAACAAAGCACACACACACACCTCTTACCAAGGATACTTCCCCAGCCTTCCCAGGAAACCAACGAAAGGCTCCAGGATCCCTCTTTGACGCCACCCACTGGACCCGTTTGGGGGTTCTAAATAGAAGAGGACTGACTGGTGTTGGGATAATTAGCAATGGAAGAAAAAACCTTTAGGAGAACAGGTAGGTGAAACAGAAAAAATGAGTTACACAAATCCCTATCCATTCTTTAGGCTGTCTGGAAAGTTTTGGGGGTTTGTTTGTTTGTTTGTTTGTCTTTGCATAGGTGGTCACTTGAAGTGTGCATTAAAGGGTGTGAGAAAGTTAGGGAAAAGATGATACCTATATCGAATTATCTATCTATCATCTATCTCTCTACCTATCATCCTCCTGACCTGTATTTGTGGGACACTAGCCCAAAAGATAGTTCCCTAGGGCTTTCAGAAGTCTCTCTAACTTGGTCTACTTAAGTTTTGAATGACCTGGGTGATAGAGATTTTATCTTTAATTTCCCCCAGTGTATGAGGTAGGGCTGGTTTGCTGTGGCACTTGAACAAGCTTTTTAGATTCTCTGGGTTTCAATAGCCTCCTCACTAAAATGGAAATTGAAGTCTTTCACCTACTTCCCCTAGAGCATTGTCTCAAGGTTAAGAGATATGGAAGGACAGGAACCAAAGCTTTTTGGAGATATTTCAAGACTTCTATGCTCTGTCTGACACTAGTGATCCTACTTTTTCTGCAGCCTCAGCATGCTATACCATCCACAACCCTCTAGTTGCTCTTCTCCCTGAGTGACTGAGGTCTGTGAAGTCACTCCTAGAACTAGAATGCAGTGAGCCTTGGGTCCAAGGCATGAGGTTGAAAGTAGTGGGGGATGGTGAGCAAGAAAGAAATTGAATCCTAGGCTGCTGCCACAGAAGACCTGATAATTATATATAGGCACCTAACCTGTAAGCATGTGGCCAAGCTCCCCTCTCCAAATGCATTCACACCCACACACTCCAAGAATTACCAACAGGGAGACCCCATTAGTGATTTTGTTACCCATCAGTCCTATCTTGATTCTTTCTAACATACCTCATACTTCAGAAGGATAATCAGGATCTGTGGGCCTGAGGATGTCATACTATATGCTTTTCCTCCCCAGAGTTAACCCCATTTTAGAATTTGTGGCTCAGCTTTTGGTCTTGAGTGAGTCTCTAGTACTGAGTGAACCCTTGTTCTTTAACCAGTTAATTGGACCTTTTCAGGGAGGATGTCCTTCTTTTACCCATTCAAGGTTGAGAAACTTTCTAGATGCCACATTCTATCTTCAACCAAGTTAGTTCCCCCACCCAGGGCTCTGCACAGCTCTCTGTATAACATTTACCTTATTAAATGGGGATTATTTGTCCACATGTTCATCTCATCTAGGGCAAAGAGATGTTGTAGAATATACAAACATTCATTGAGCAAGTGTCTCCTCTGTGCCAAAGCCTTAGCTGGACACTGGAAACACAGATCACAGATAGCTTGAGGTCCAGTTCTCATTCTCAAGGATCTCACAGTTTAGTAGGGAAGTAGACTGGTGAAACACAGGTGGATACTTGCTCAGACAGACAGAAAGATATAGACAATATGAGAACCAAAGATAAAACCTGTCCTGAAGATACAGGGAAGCCTTCCAAGAGGAGGTGAACATTGAACTAGACCTTGAAGAATGAGTTGTATTTTGTTGAGAATGGAAAGGAAGAGAAGGCATTCCAGGCTAAGCAAAGGCCCAGAGGCAAAAATAAGTGCACAGCATGTTTTGGGCCCAGTGAGTCAGCTAGCATAGTTTAAGCATGGGGGTCAAAAGAGATACATGCTATAAAGGTAGGTTGGGACTTGAATGACAAGAGCCAGGCTGAGGCCTTTCCATAAAGCTTGTTTAGTTCTCTTGCTTTGGCGACCAGAATTGTTAACGGTGGTAGAAATAAATAAACAAACAAACAAACAAATAAATAAATAGCTTGCCAGCCAATTCCAGGCAGTTTTAAGTTGGGTTTTCAAGACTGGATCCTGGGTTTACCATTTCAGCTTGCTAGCTTCCTATATCATATTTCCTACTGCTAAAATTATCTTCTGCCTCTTGGCAGGATCATGAGGACAAAATTGTAAACAGATGAGGGTTCATGTGACTGGCTCAATTACCTTGGACAAGCCCCTTCCCCTCTCTAGACCTCAGTTTCCCTGTGAGGCTAGTGAGAATGTTTATAAGGAGCAACTAGGATAGGAAATATGTTGCTGCTTTGTCGGCCATGGAAGACATACATGTAAAGAGTTATTAAGATTATTAGCATTAGCAGAGTGATATTTATTAAGGGTCTTATTAGGATTTAAGAGAGTTATATATCTTTCAAAGTCTAGTTCTAAGACTAAAATTTCTGAGTTAATCTGAAAGACCACATTCTTAAATCAAGCTAGATTGATTAATTAACCAAAGAAAAATCCTGGACTGGGAGAAATCAGGTGCTCATTGTTCTATTCCTAACTTGGTGACTTATTTGCTACAGGGCCTTAGGAAAATACTTCCCCTCTCTAGGCCTCCATTTTCTTACCTGGGAAGGATGGATGAAACAGTTTCTAGGAGGCTTCAAAAAACTAAAAAAGTAAAAGTGAATTCACCTTTCTAGCTGATTGGCAGGAGCTCTTTATTTATTTTGTTAACCCTTTGTCATAATGTTATAAATTTCCTTTACCAAGTGTTTCCTGTATGCTCAGCATTACCTTTGCTAAAAAGATGATTGATCATTTACTTTACAAAGGGGATCACAGTGTTGGATATGTATATTGAGTATTTTCCAGGTTGCTTTACTTGTATTAACATGTTGAATCTTCAACAACAATAAAGGGGTAGGTACTCTTACCAGATGAAAAAAACTGAAGTACTGAGAAGTTTGCCTTCTGCCCTGGGTCTCATGACAAGGAGCAGAGGTAGGATTCCTTTCAGATAATATGTCTCCAAGAGCCCATTGCTCTTAACCACTGTGATCCACTGCTTCAGGAGATTCATTTATATGGGCAGGCTCTGAAATGTATTGAAAGTTTGGTACGATTTATACACAACAACTGGAGGGAATCTAACCCTTGTGTAGACTAGGACACTGGGACTGTACTTTAGGGGACTTCTTAAAAGGCAAAGTGGATGTAAGAGCATTGGAGGGAAGGGACTAGAGATTTCTATCCCTAAGAGATTGCCCCTCTATAGCTCAGCTCAGTAGAAGAAAGTTGAGCTTTCTTGTAGCCAATAAACAGAGTTTCATCAGGGGGTGGGAAGGTTGCAAAAGAATGAAGTAAGAAACATTTGGACATATTCCAGGTAAGCTGTGCTTTTAAATGAGTTCTACACATAAAAGCTTCAGTACAATACAGGGGGAGAAGGAGGGTAAAGTAGAGATATCAGGGTGGTTATCCTACTTTGAGTTGATTGCTTCCTGCTCCCTACACTCAGCCTGCTGCAGATTCCACTCTAAACCTCCATTTCTACGGCTTGACATGAGGAACTTTATCCAGGTTCTGAATCAGGTCCCATCTGATAGCTGCTGGCAGCCATGTGGGCAGCGCTTGCCATCTCTCCCCCAGCCAGGGCTGCACTCATTCCTCCTCCCAGAGGTGTCAGGTTTACTCTGATTTATTTAGCCTAGGCTGGAGAGAGCATAAGATAGAATAGTGCCCATCTCTCCAAGAGTGTCCCAGGCAGCACATTTTAGGAGGAGAGTCCCTCCAATAGTAAAGGCAGAAGAATTGGGGGGAAGACAGGTGTTGCAATGCCGTTTTGTAGGGGAGGTTGGGGTGGTAAGGCAGTGGATCTTCCACTTCCAGTTTGGGCCTTTGATTGCTAGATCAAAACATTGCATTCTTCATTACTTGGGAACCTTGCATTTCTGATGTGGATCTCTGCTTTCAGGTTGAAACCTGACATTCTACTTGGGCCCATATTTTATTTCAAAGTGTGAAAGCTACTGAGACCTGCTTCCAACACCTTTGCCTCCCCACCCTACACAGGGTGTAAGCACATGATCTTTGGTCTTTTATTTGCATACTCTAATAGTCCTGTCTTCATTGGAGGGAAGTGGCTGGCCAGACCTGGGCTGTCTTGCTGGCTGCCCTCCTTTGCTGGAAGGAACTTATCTCCTATGTACACAGCCCTTGGAGTTCAGAGGCCTCTGCTGACCTCTGCCCAACCTCTCCCTCTCTGCACTCAAGCCCTCACTGGTACATACAGGAGCAAAAGCAGGCAAGGACTAGGAAAAAGGAGAGGAGGCTGGAGACAGGCTGCCAGAGGGCTCAGAAGCCCAGCTCTTCTCCCTACCCCAACTCTCTCCACCTGCTTCTGTGGCCACAGCAACAGAAGACAGTTAGCAAGACAAGAAGCCCTGGTCCATAAGGACCGGTACCTTATGGAGAGTGGTGTCATTAGCTGTGACACCTAAGATGTCTCAAGAGATGGAAGAACTCACCCAAACCAGGTTGCAGAAGATCTGGATTCCACACAGCAGCGGCAGCAGTGGGCTGCAACGGAGGAGGGGCTGTAAGTGGGGTTTGCTTCCATAGGTTTCAGTGTGGTGGTGGTAAAGTGGGTATAGAAAAAGAGCAAAGACATGGCCCCCCATCTACTCTCACCCCAACCTGAATATTGGAATAGATGAGCAGTTAGATGAAGTAGCTGTAAGATAACAAGAGGATAATGTCAGAAAAGGTAGAGAAAGAATGACAGAAAGACAAAAAGTGAGAGATAAAGACAAAGAATGAGAATTGGATCAAGATAATTTCATCAGAGGAATTTTTGACTAGGAACTTTTCTTCCTCATCTCGACCTTATTTAGAAAGGTTCTTGTTTGAAATTTGACACTGCTAGTTTGGAACTATTCATTGCTTAGCCTAGAATGTTTCATTTTGGTGATCTCAGTGAAGTGTCTGAAAATTGGTCCTGTCTGATAGTGCGTGAATAGAATTAGGTGATGGTTCCTAAAATTGATTCTCAGGGGATGGGTGCTGGGTACATAACAGTACCATATCATTGGTCAGTTTTGCTCCTCCCCTTTCTCAAGTCTCTTCTAATAAATCTATACCTGACTCAGTTGGGAAAGGCTGGGTATCCTGTCTCCTGCATTGCATTCTTGTCACATATAGACACTTGCTGCTCTCACCAGAGAGGAAGAAGACACTAAGTCTTCTTAGGGACAGGCTGTTGGTGTAATGTTCACTTTGAAAATTAAAGAAAAAAGAGGGGTGAAGGAAAAGTAAATGAAACCTGTAAAAAATTTTTTTAAAAAAAACTGCAGTATACCATTTCCCATAGATAATAGGGGACAGTGTGAACCAAGGTGCTTCCAGCCCAAGGATTATGGCCTAGGAGCCATAAGGTGGGCAGAGATAAGACAGTTGTGGACTGTTGGACTGAGACAACTCAAGGTCAAGCTGACCAAGCTTCCACTATGCTAATTCTACAGAAGGTCCAGGGTCAGGGATAGTTGGTTGGGGGGGGTAGTTGCTTAGAGGATTAAGGAAGATATAGGGTGTTAAATAAAGTATATAGGATGTAGGGTATAGATGGAGGAAGAAGAGAAAGAGAGGAGAAAACCTCATGTTTTCCTCTCTCCTTCTTTCTACCAGCAGTTTTACTTACTCATTTGGAGATCTAGGAACCTGGATGAGACAGAATTACATCTCACTCCCACCCACCCAGACACTCTTGATCCTTTCTAAGTGACTGTTGGGTTTAGCTGGCATGCAGGCAAGCCACTCTCTGCATACCTGTGTTCTCCAGAGTTAGGATCCTTATATTTCCTGGAGCTTTTTTCAGGTTGAAGAATTCATATACATCAATCACCTAATATAGTATCTGTCTCATAAAGGATGCAAAATAAATATGTGTTCACTTTAGTTCTGAGCCTCTCTTTCCTCATCTGTAAAACAGGATTAATACCTACCTTCCCATATTGTTGGGCTGATTCAGTGATCCAGAGGTTCTGGATTTAGACTGCCTAGGTTTGAGTCCAGCTCCTGCCTCTGTGACTGTGGACAAGTCTCTTTACTTCTTTGTGCTTCCATTTCCTCACCTGTAAAAATAAGTTAGTAACAGGTGTTGTTGTGAAGATTAGAGAGCTAAAGTATATAAAATCCTTAGAAGAGTGTCCAGCTTATAGTAAGCACTCACTAAATGTTATTATTATTTAAATAAAAAGGTAGGTGTGTGGTCTTTTTCCCATTGTATCCCCAGCATCAAGCCCAGATAGATGTGTTCAGTAAACAGTCATTATGTTACTTTCTCTACCACTCACCAAAGCCAAGCATGGGGCCCTGTGTGTGCAAGACTAAGGCATTGATTGTGTCAGATTGCAGACACAAAAAACTGAGATAGTGTTTGCCACATCCTGCCTGAGCAATGTCTGCCTCACCTTTTTACTGAGAGGGGCAGATTATTTACCCTGGAAATATTTTAATCATCTTGTGCTTGGAACATCCTCTCCAGAAGACCTGCCTGGCCCCAAAAAGGGTGGTGGGGGAGGGGAGGTACACAATCACTTAATGAGATTGTTCTGAGGATTAAATGCATTAACATGTATAAACTGCTGGAACAGCTGTGTATATTCATCTATGACTTGTTTTTCTCACTCACCATTGTATTTTCTTGGCCATCTATATTATCATTGCATGCAATTGTAGTTTGTTTATTCTTTCTTGCTTTGTAATATTACATTTTGTGAATATCCACAGCTTATTTATCCATCTTAATGTTCATGAGCATTTATGTAGTTTCTAGTTTTTGGTTATAAAATATAATTAAATAAAATTAAATGTCGTCCCCATAAATTTTGGAATCAGCTATTCAAGTTACACCAAGTTGTACACTGACAAAATTTTGGGGATTTTGATTGGAGTCACTTTCAATCTGTAGATCAATTTAAGGAGAGTTAACATCTTTGTAAAGTTGAGTTTTCTGTAAACATGGTACGTCTCTCCATCGATTTAGACTTTTTTCATGTTATTTGAGTAAAGTTTTGTAATTTAAAAGGGCTTCCACATCATCATAAGAAGTTTTTGTTTATTTTTGTTGCCATTTTAAAAAATACCTTTTCAGAAAATTACATTTTACAGAAGTTTATTGCTAATATATACAAATATAATTGAATTTTGGATACTGCATTTGTAACTAGCAAACCTGACCTAATACTTAATTTTGATAATTTGTATGTAAATGACAGTTTTCTTTTTCCCCCTCCAATCCTTATTTTTGGGGGTCACTTTTTCTTTTTTTTAAAAATTTTATTTATTTATTTTTAGACAGAGGGTAAGGGAGGGAGAAAGAGGAGAGAAACATCAATGTGTGGTTGCCTCTCCAGTATCTCCTACTGGGGACCTGACCTGCAACCCAGGCATGTGCCCTGACTGGGAATTGAACCGGTGACCCTTTGGTTCGCAGGCTGGTACTCAATCCACTGAGCCACACCAGCCAGGGCTGGGTCACTTTTTCTTATATTACTGCACTGCTAAGTCCTCCTACCTCCAATACACACATATCATTTTTAGTACAATGTTGAATAGAAATGTTAATAGTGTACATTATGTTGATCCTAATTTTAAAGGGAATGCTTTTAAAGTTTCACCATTGAGTAAATTTGCTGTAGTTTTTTTGTAGATACCATTTAACAGGGTAAAGTTGTTCAGTTTATTCTTAATTTCCCAGTAGGATTATTTTCAAATGAGTAGATGCTGAATTTTATTAATGGTACTTTCTGTATCCACTGAGATGACACATTGATTTTATACTTCAATCTGTTAAGGTGAATCACATTAGAGATTTTTTTATTGTGTTGAACTAATCGTCAGTCCCATGAAAAATAAAAACTGCTTGCATTTAGTTCATTAATATTTTCTTCAGAAATTTGGAATTTTGCTCATAAATGAGATTGATCTGTAATTTTTTCACTCCGTGTTTCCCTATTTGATTTTGGTATCATTAAATGAAGTGGGAACTATTTCCTTTCATTCCATGTTACGACAGGGGTGGTCCAAAGAACTATCTGTTCATTAAATATTTGGCACAACTTTGGGGCCTGGTGTCTTCTTCATAAGAGGTATTGTAACTGATACAATCTTTTAAATACTTATTGAATCACTGCACTTTGCTATTTCTACTTGTCAGTTTTGTTAAGTTATGCTTTTCTAGAATTCTATTTCACATCACTTTTCAAATTTATTTGCGTAAAGTTCCTATCTTTATATTTTTATATTTTTAGAATCCATGTTGCATTTGCAGTTATTTCCTCTTTTGTTCTAATATTGTTTATTTGTATCTTCTCTTTTTTTCTTTCTGATCAATCTTTCCAGAAGTTTGCTACTCTTACAAGTTTTTTTAAAAATAATTGACTTTTGGATTTTTTATTCTTTCTGTATGTCTTCGTTTTCTGTTAAACTATTTTTCTTGTCATTATCTTATTTCTTTTGTTTTCTTTGGATTTATTCTACTGTTCTTTTTTAATCTCTGGAATTGTATGCTCAGTTCATTAATTTTCAGACTTTATTTTTTTTAATATAAGTTTCTAATGCTATAATTGGTCTACTAAACAGAACTGATATTCCACAGATGCACAGTTGTATGGCCATATAAATTTGTAAAATATTTCCATAAAATTAAGTAAGTAAGCATGGCTCCAGGTTTCTTAGTTTCCCTGCCACTTAGCCAGTTGTCCTGACAATCTAAGTCCCTTTTTCAGGATTGCTGGGACCTACTCTTTATTATTTTGCCACTAAAGGGTTAATTCCTAGCACAGCAGGAGGCCTCCTGTAATCTCTGCCAGACCTTGGGCCAGGGCAAGCTTCTGTTTGAACAGATCAGTGCCCTTGCCATTTCCAGTCTGATTTCATTCTCTTCTCAGAACAAATTTTGTATGATTTCAGTTCTTTGAAATCTACTGACATTTGCTTTATGGTCTAACATATGAAAGTTTTTGGTGAATGTTCCACAAGCACTTTGAAAAAATATACATTTTACAGTTAAGTTCACTGAAGTATATACTTGAGTCATGTTTGTTTATCTGGCACAAATGCACTATATTTTTCTGCAGTTTTGGCTGCATAATATCAACTATGCAAATTTTGTTAATATTGCCTTGTAACTATGCCAATTTTGAAGCTTTGTAAATAGTTACACATAAGTTTAGAATTGTTGTATCTTCCTGGTGACTTGAACATTTAATTGATGTATACAGAGCTTATTTATTTTTGGTTTTATTATCATTGGCATTTTGCCTTGCAGCAATTTCTTTCTAATATTAATAAACATATATTAGTTTATTTAGCTTAATATTTGCCTGATATATATTTTAATATACATTTTAAATTTTTTAATAGAAATATAGTTTACATACTATAAAGTACCATTTTAAAATGTACAACTTAATGGTTGTTAGTATATTTTTTAATATAAATTATATATTATTGTTTATGCTATTACAGTTGTCCTGATATTATCCCCTTTGCCTCCTCAACTAAGAACCCCTCATTTCCTCAGGCAATCCCCACACT